TAACAAAATAACCATGAACAGTTACAAACAGTGGTTTATTTAGAGCGTGAGCAGTGCTCTCTTTAACACTTAATTTTAAAACACTTGCACTACACTGAAAGGAGACATAAAGACACCATTTTGACTGATCAGCTTCGGAGATGGACAACCATTGGAAATGCCTGCACTTTGTATGCAGTGCCTTTTGGAATTACACAAACTCTTAAAAAGCTTCTTAATTTAAGTCTCAAAGTTCTATACTGGGAAACTCATTTTTCAGAATAATTACTAAATGAAAAGTACATACCAAGAGACACACTTGAACTAAGCATTCAAGAAAAGATGAATGCATGTCAGTTTAGATTTCTGTGTTTGCTGTACTGTTGTAGAATACCATAGTTATTAACTTTAAAGCATTATTGAATAGGATTGGTAAGTATCTAAAAGGGATTTATATACATTTATAACTCCCCAGTTTACCTACAAAAAGTAGGGTAACTTTGGCAGCAACAGCTTATTTGCTTCCCCAGATGTTTAGATTTTAAAAAATCTTGAAAAAATAATACTGAACAATGTACAGAATCAAGGCAACATATAATACAGGTTATTATCTTAACTCTTAGAAGAAACTTTGAAAGTTACTTTTGATTTTATTAAACACTACATCATCCCTGCAAGAATAATTCAGTTTTCTACAAAAAAGAGAGCAAGTTTGTAAAAAACAATCCTAAACAACATGTACCTTCTGCTATTATTATCCCCATCTGGATTATACCTTAAAATTAAACCCAGTTCAGGAGAGTATCAAATTCTGTGAGAACACCCTTTCCTCTTCCTCCTCCCTGTGTCCTGAATTTTATAGTATGGTTGGATACCCTGAATTTACTTTGTAACACACAACCGTACATCAAGAATGATACTCCACAACTTGTGCTTCTTGCCATTTTTCAGCATTACAGTATTAATGATTTAGAAGCTCTTAATTAGGTAAAAATGTAGTAGCACATTAAACACTTCATACTCATGATCACAGACACAGCATTTGAGGAGATCTTAAATACTGCTCTCAGTGCCATTAACTAGTTTATGAATAAAGTTAATTCTGCACATCTACTGGTACTTATCTATCCTGGTATGTCAAAAACACCGACACATGGTGTGCTGCTATTAATTTATCAAATTTCTATGCATTTCAGGATAATGTTACTTCGGTCAATAAAGAGATCACTGTATGAAATATTTGGAAAGGAACTTTGAAGTATGAATTCTTTAAAACTATAAAAGAGATCTCTAAACCATAAAAAATAGCTTTGAAAAAATGTTCAATTTCATTCCTTTATACAAACTGATTAATCTGTCTTCCTTAATGAGCCTTTTTTTCTAGCCTAAGAGTAGCTAATGTGATTTAATTTTCACAACTGTGAGTCACTGGAAAACTTTGAAATTTCTTCCAAAATCTCTAACCACAAGACTATCCCAGTCAACAACTACTATATAACAGCTTCTTTGGTCACACTTGCAGAAAATGTACAGACAATTTGCAAACACATGCTATTTAATACAGAGAACTATCACAATTGATATTCAACTTTCACAAGTTCAAAATAAACTATTTGCTGAAATTGCCTCCCTACAAGTTCAGTATTCCATCTTCCCTCTTGAGAGCCACATACCTGTATTCAATTTTTAATCTAGAATTGAATACAAAGAATGCAAAAACAAGGCACGTGTAAAAGAAACACTGTAACTCCACATAAAGATATCAAATTGCCATGTTAAGAGGTGATGCAAGTTTCTTAAATAGAACATTTCAATAAAAATTAAAATACATAGGGAAGAGCAAAGCATTTCACATCATTACAGTCAAACATTTACAAGTTAAAAATTAAGCAAAAAAACTCAGCCAGAACCCATGCTAAAATCATGCATGCATACACACATGCACACATATACATGAAACTAGACCGCAGTTAGGATGATTTTTCTTTTTTAAAACAAAGCCAGAGGCAACTCTTCCAAGTGATGTTATAATTACACAGCTAAGGTGTACTTGTAAAAAGCCCCTACTCTGGCCAATTAAAACCTACAGTTGCTTTCACAATTTTCCAAACCTTTTGGGACTGTTCAGAAAGTTTAAGTATAGAACAAGCTCCACAATACTTTTCAACAAACTCAGGTGTCCCCAACAAAACTGAACTTATTCAAAGTAAAAATAATGCACTTCACAACTTCTGCAAAATGTCTGTGAAACTGCCCTATGCACACACGTTTCCTCCCTGGGAGTTCATAGCCAGCAGAACAGCGCTAGCTTTTATTATTAAACAACCTGAGACCATTTCATTTCTGCAACACCCATTCCAAAAAAAACGCTCGCCAAAATGCAGCATTTTAACTGACACACCAAGAGAACTCCCCTGAAGACCTGCTACACACAAAAGAACTGCTTTGATCCAAACGAGTCTGCACGTTTTCTCCTATTATCCTGCCTTAATTTATCAAACCAGGGCCGATTTGACACCTTTCCATTACAAAAACACACAACGAACCATCCCTCTGCTAGAGGCATCATCTCTGCAGAGGTGATGATAACCCTAGGAAAAGAGAACCTGTCTCTTTAAAATGCCCTGCTATGTCCCTGATCCCACGTGGAACCAACATCAGCAGCACTTTCGCATTAACTTCAATGTGAGGCGAGATGAGGCATCATTATTTTGCATAATTAAAACGAGGAGACTGCAGAACACATTCTTTGTAGGAGACAAACAGGTGAACTAAACGTGCCAGGGAAATCAGCAACCACCCGCAGAAGAGGTGCCCTGGGTGCCTAAGCCCTCTCTGCTTTCCCTATGGAGCATTACCTCAACCCCACACTACTCTGAAGAATTCAGTTTAAAGAGAGGAGGGAGCCACCAGGAAAACTGGAAATTCAAAGGCAACGAAAATGCACTTTATAAACCGGAAAGGTTTACTCTTTGCCTCACACATCCTAATTAGATCAGGAAAGTGACACTACAAAGACATTACATTCCGGCCCGGGGAGGGACAAAAAAAAAAAGAAAAAAAAAAAAAAGAAAAAAAAAAGGGGGGGGGGGCTGATAAAAGAAATAAAGAAAGAAACAAAAAGAAAATAGAGGAAAAGAAAGGGGCCTCCACCTCCCCAAGCCCCCCAAACATACAAAAAAGCATTTTAAAAGGAAGTTATAAAACAGTACATATAGCATTTATCTTATCTAGAATCACTCCACATTACCCCCAAGTTATGCACTTTCTGCACTATCATCTCCCCCTACCTCTCTGTCCTGAAAGGGATTTTCACGTTTTCTCATTGTCGGTGGCGAGTTATAAGAGGCTTTTGCCTTTCCAAAGAATTCATCAACAAAAAAAAAATAATAAATATTAACTCCTTGCTCCCTGAAACCTTAAAACGGTCTCGGGAAGACACGGGTTTTATTCTGTTACCTTGAGGAAGAAAAGGGGGAGCAGCCCCGATTTTTAGGTATTTTTTGGCATTTTTTTTCTGATTTTTATTTTGTTATATGCCTCAGTTCTCCCTCCATTTTGGTTGTTTATGATACTGACAACAAGCTGTCCCTGCTCTCTCTCTCTCTCTCTCTCTCTCCGGATCTCTCCTGCTTTCAGTTAGCAAACCCCCCTCCCCAATGCAACACGACTCAGCACTTACTTGGGTCCACACTTTTCTCTAAACACACACCGATGGGGAAGGGAAAAGCTTCTGGGCCACTCGGAGGGGGAGAGCAGGCAAATTCGTTTCTTTATTACGAAAAAAAAAAACTTTTGTCCAAAAAAACGACGGGAAAGGGGAACCGAGTGCCCCAAAGTCACTCCGGATCCCCCCAAAGACGCAGCCGCCAGGTCCGGGGGACACCCCACGGGTAGCCGGGTCCACGGGGAAAATTTCTGTGCGAAATTCGGCCGGTTTGATGCGGGGGGCGAATTTATATTAATTTTTTCCCTCATTTTTCGGCACCGCGGTCTCTAATGTCTTCCGCTCCCTCTCGCCGCTCTAGCCGCTGTCATTGCATTCACAGCACAGGCTCCGGAGAGGCGAGAAGGGGAGGGGGCGGCCGCGCAGCTCCTGCCCCACTGCCGCGGCTCCGGCCCCAGCCCCGGCCCACCGCAGGGGTCGGCGGCGGCGGGGACCCCGCGCCCTCCTGCCGTCCCCCGGGCAGACCGCTGCCTCGCCCGCTCGCTCGCGAACCAACATAGCGCCGCGGGGAGGGAGGGAGGGGAGGAGTGGAGGAAACTCCTGAGAGAGAGCTTTTTTTTTTTTTTTTTTCTGAAAATCATCTCTTTTTTTCCCTCCGAGGGAGGGGAAGGGGGGAGCACCGCTCGCCTCAGCTTCCCCCCCCCAGCTCTTTCCCTCCGGGGAAGTCCGACGCGGGGCGGTGGGGGGCTGCGGGAGATGGGGGGGTCGGGGGTGGGGGGGGAGAGAGATGGAAGGGAGGGATGGTTAACACAAACTTTTCCTCACTGCTTGCTGCTCCTCTCTCCTCTCCCCCCTCCTTCTCCTCCTCCCCTTTCATAATTTAAATAACCCTGATATTTCCCTGCTAAACCCCGGCGCCTGCCCCCCAAACCCGCAGCAGACTCACCGCGGGAGCCTCAGCATCCCCTCTGCGCCCCGTTTCCACCCTTTACAGTGTTCTCCGATTTTTCTGTAATTTTTTCCCCATATTTCGGGCTGGACGCGGCGGGCCTGGAAATTGTTTGCTTTCCCGTCTTTCCAGCAGCCATTGTAGTGTATGCGCTGCGGTGCAGCCCAGCCTGCCGCACACGCCGCGCCCACACCGCCCGCCGCCCACACGCACCGCGGGTTGGACACCTCCCCCAGTCAGTCAGGGCCGCAGCCGCGCCCCGCAGCCGGCGCCTGCGGCCCGCGCCGCCAGCCCCGTTGGTGGAAGGAGGCGCCGCTCAAGGCCGGGGCGGGCTCGCCGCCTCCACTATTGGCGGACAGGCGCTGCCACTCAGAGCCGCCGGGGCGTGGGCGGTGGCGGCGCTAGGCCGGGGGGAGCAGCGAGGCCGGGAGCGGGGTAGGCTGCGCCCGTACTTAAGCGGGCTGCCCGAGTCGCTGACGTCTTTCGAATTGGAGACGGGGTGCCCCCCTCCCGCCCTGGGCTCCTGCGGACACGGCCGGGGACTGAGGTGAGTGCCGCCACAGCCGACCCGCGCTGCCCTCCCGTCCGCCTTCTTACCGTGCCTGCCGCTGGTCGCCGCTTCACCTTCCCTGTCAGGAGAGGGGGAAGGCTCGCTCGCCTTCTCGCTTGGGCCCGGCGGCGGGGCCCGGGCACCGCTTTCTGGCGGCAAGTGGTGCTGAGAGGAGGCTGCGCGCGCGCTTCGGCTGTTGAGGCACCGGTGGCCGTTGGGGCAACGGTCGATCCCCGCGCGAGACGGGCGGAGGGGCGCCGGGCCGGGGTGTGAGGGGACGGACCACCGGGCTCCTCTAGACACCCCCAGTCGGCGAGGCAGGGGCTGGGTGGTGGGCGCCGTGGCGGCGTGCCCACACCTGATTTGCCCCTCTCCCCAGCCGTCGTCTGGAGACTGATCTGCGGGCTTAGCGGTGCCGAGCGCCCGGAGCCACCGGCTTCCCGCTCCCGGCTCGTCCGCTGTAACAGCGATAAAAACGGTAAGGTTTTTATACGGTCTTCGGTCCGGGGTTTAAGGTTTAACGAGTTGGGCTGTATTGCGGCATAATTAGCAATTTTATATGTATATATGCGTTTAGAAAAACTCAAAACGCTTCTCAATGGGAGGGAGCCTACAGAAAAATATCCTGATGGTTTATGAACTAAAAAAGCCCTAGGGCTAAAGAGTGCTAGCAACAAATTCATTTCTCTGTGGTACAGTTTACAACTGTTAATGTGTTAAAGCATAATTAAGAACTGTGGCACAGACAAGCCTTTGGTTGTGGTTGGGTTCAGACCTGCAGTCTGCAAGCAGGAAGGGAAGCCTGTGCATGGGTAAGGACTGGAGGGGAAGGCTTGCTTCCTGCCCAACTGCTCATTCAATCACACTGCAGCGTTTCAGCGTGACCTGCCTGCCCTTCTAGCTGGTAATGTTTCAAACCCTGAAGTACTTCTGGGCGGAGGAGGGAGGAACACGCACAGGAGTGGTCAGACTTCTTTGGTAGCACTAAGTATGTGTAAGCTTCTGCCTACTTCAAACTAAGCAGCTTCATGAGAACCTGAACTGCCTGTTCACTAAGTAGCTATTTAATCTATTGTGTGCATTGTGCCTTAAACTGGGCATGGTTGCAGACTGGTAGTGTAATCAAATTGAAAATGTTAATTGCAGCTTCTATAATGAACACTGATGATGATACATCTTATGACTCACAAATAGCCTTTCAGAGAGTAAGACTGAAGTCAGTCTAGTACCGCACACCTTGAGGCACGTCTGCTTAGGTGGTACTTGCACCTCTAATACTAGAGTTACAACACATACGCAAACCAGTCTCTACAAACATTGTGTGTGTCCTACTGACTTAGATAAACCACTGTGATATGCTGCCTTTGTTTTCTACTAATTGTTCTCGCCCTTTAAGTCTGAGATGATGCTACTGTGTTATACATGTGTGTGCTTCCATTTGAGTTGGAAGTGCCACGTCAGAAATCCTCTTGCACCCACAAAAAACACAAACGTTTGCTTGATTTGTAAAATTAGATTAAACTTTGGATAGCTGTCAAAAGGAGGTGGATGGGTTTCCTGATGCAGTTCTTTAAAAGGCCTATTTGTAGAAAATGAGCATGTAGAATTTAAAAAAAAATCCAATACTTCAAGCACCAGGAAAGCATACTTGCACAAGGTGCAAAATCTAAGGGTTAGTCACCTGGAATACCTTACTATTACTGAAAGAAGAACCTTCATCTTGAGACCAAGCCATTAGGCCTTAGCTGACATAACTTTGCTATTTTGGAAGAGTATGACCGCACACAATTAACAGAAACCTGCAAGTAATTACCTGCCCTCCTGATAGGGCATGATATACAATAAGCTAGAACTCTAGTACGTAGGCAGCCTTGCATCAGTTTTCGTAAGTTGCTTATAAACAGGGACATCCCTAATGGCAAAATATGATAACAGTTTGAATGAAGAACCGAGCATGTAGCTCACAGGTATTAGCGGTTAATAATACTAAGCTCAAAGGTAAACAGCTGTAAGAATCCTGATTAATACTAGCCCGTAGACTATAGTTGTAGCCCTAACCCAAGTGCACAACAGGATAAGAAAACCACAAGGTATGTAACTTACAGAATTGTATGAATGTATCCTTTAGGTAAAATTACATCAAGATGAAAAGCAGGTTTAAAAGAACCCCTGAGATTGACTGTTCTTTGGACATGTGTACGGAGGTTTGAACCCCCATGTGTTCCTGGTGCCAATAAAGGCTTGTGCTTTACTTTACAGTGTGTACTGTGGAGTGATTTCTTTGAATCAAGTTGGCAATCCAGGCAGGAGACTGTCCGTTCGGCTGTGAGACCTTCTGGGGCCAGGGACCCTCAGGGTGCCCTTGAAGAATTCTCTGGAGAGACTTTCTGGTTTCCGTTGGATCATCACAGGAACGGAGAGGACCCTGAGACAGGTACACAACTTCAAAGCACTACCTTACTTTGAAGGAAATTCTTAGTTTGTGGTTTAGGGCTACCCATAAGTCATATGCTGGGTGTTGCAGCACTGATCTGCTAGCGGTACACAGGTGTTTGGGGTTAGAGTCCCCATTGTTGTTTGTGTGGATTGCAGGTTAAAGTCCTGCCCAGATTCCAGGCTATAGTCCTCATTTGACATGTATGTAGATAGAGGCTGGAATTTGTGCAGTCCTAGCTACTGTTATCAGCTTCCTAATTTATTATGTATGTATATATTTTAAGCCTTTGAATTTGGTACCCTGTATCTGTTGAATAATGTCTGTCTCATAGTAAGTGCTACTCTGTCTAGTCTGCCTTTAAGACATGACTAAATGTATGTTGAAGAATCCATAGAGGATGTTGTGTAGAATTGGTAGGATTATCACTTTGTGTTTAGTGTTCACCCATTTTTGTGTGTTATCTGTAATCAGTGTGCATTTTTTGGGAAATTTGATACAAGGGAAGGGCAACCTGGTTATGAAATCCAATTAGAAATAGTTCAGCATTTGCTGAAACAAGAACTATTTATTCAACTACAACTGCATGGTACGGAATGAGTGAATGTATGTGAGAGACATACAGTTAGGTACAAAGTGAGTGTGGCGTTCCCATCTACGGTTCTGTTCTCCCATAAGGGAAACGGAGGTGAACAAAGCAAAAGTAACATGGAGTGAGTGCACAAGTAACACAAGCACGACTGGGACGTGATATTATCACAAAGCAAGTGCAAATGGGAAACCAGGAAAGTCAGCATTTACTACTAAAAGTCCCCTGGGATGTATCTTAACACACGGGAAGGAAATGGGGCATCCCCTAGGAGGAAGCACGAGCAAAAAGACCTTGATAAAATATTGTAACCAGTGGTGGCCATTGCATAAATTGGAAGGGGGAGAAAAAGGGCCAGAAAATGGATCCTTAAACTGTGGTATGATGTTACAGTTAATGCTTTTCTTATGAAGGGAAGGAAGGTGGCATGAAGTCATGTATGCAGATATGTTTTTCACACTCTGAGACCATCCAGAGTGGCAGAAAGACTGTGGGATAAACATTGCACCCAATAAACATTGCACCAAATTCTGTTTGTGTTAACACTAGAAAAAGGGAATAAAAAGCAAGGAGATGTTGAAGTGGTGCTGCTCATCATACATCCTATAGAAGGACAGAGGTGCGTGAAATACAAGGAGGAGGGGCCTGAGGAAATGCTAGAAGGTTTTCTTAGTCCCAGGGAAACTGCAGAAAAAGTATTAACTCCTTCCCCTTCCCCAGAGGATGGGAGGTGAAAGGAGAGGGGAAGGCAACAAAACTCCCTGTCACCATCCTTTTCACAGCTAAGCAGGAGAACTCAGGCCAAGTTGTGAGCTTGATTGGCTCTGCCCATATTGAAAGATGAAGGCGTGATGCAAGCTCCCCTTAGGGAAGCTGAGGGGCCCATGAGGCTGAAGGTTAATTTCTCTACGGGAGACTTAGGAAGTTGGAAAGCGATAGCAAGGAGTTATAGGGAAGATCCCGCATGGCAAAGAAATTTACAATCTACACTAAATCCCTAGACCTGGATAGGGATGATAGTGATTTAAGGTTAGATGCACTGCAACTGAGACAATAATGACAGGAAGAAGTCAGGTTGAACAATCACCTATGCAGCCATTGCAGTCCTGGGAAATAAATTATCAGGGAGATGGAAAAACTTGAGGTACATAGAATCCTTTTCAGTTCCTAACAGGAGTAATAGGGTAAGGGCTAATCAGTGTGTTTTTTGTAAACAGGAAAGGCCCTGGAAAAGGCAGTGTCCCAAATTGAGAAGGGAGGAGGGGGACCTCCCATACCTTGCTGAATTAGAATAGGGGGAACTGGAGGATCAAACCCCAGACAATACCCTGGTTGTAATGAAGCTGGGGAAAGAAAACACAAATGTAGAATTTGTAGTACATGCCAGAGCTACGTTTTCTGCATTAAATCAACAGTTAGCTTTGATTGATAGTGAATCTTTAAATGTGATCAGGGTGAAAGGCCAGCGACAGAAGGTACCATGCATGCAACCTCTCTGATATAAAATGGTAGGAACGCACATATTTTTATATATGCCGAACACCCCAAAATCTTTATTAGGAAAGATCAGTTTAAAAAAAGTTGGAAGCGGAGATCAAGTTTAAAAATGATGAAACACAAATGAAAGCTAAAGATGACCAATTAATGGAAGTATTAAGTTTAGCTCTAATCCAGCCACAGGTAACAAAGCAGGTCCCCTTAGATCTCTTGGATCAAGTCTGTCCAGGAGTGTGGGCTGGTGGAACACCAGTTAAGGCAATGCATGCCAAATTGATCCAGGTAAGACTGAAGTCTGGGACCCAACTGGTGAGAATCAAACAATCCCCCCTCAAACTAGAAGCTAGGAAAGGAATTAAACCTTTGATAGATTTTTTTTTTTTGTCAAATTTGGCCTTGTAGTAGAATGTGAATCCAAATATAACACCCTCGTTTTGCCAATCTGGAAACTGGATGGGAAAAGCTATCCATTATCCATTACTACAAGGCCTAAGAGCTGTTAATAAAATAGTAGAAGACCTTCATCCCATAGTGGCCAACCCATATATTTTGTTAACTAAGAGAATCTTGTTTGGTTTACTGTTTTAGACTTAAAAGATGCCTTCATCTGCCTGCCCTTGGATCCAGAGAGCCAAAAATTATTTGCTTTTGAATGGGAAAATCTTGAGTCAGGTTGGAAATCCCAACTCATGTGGACCGTGTTACCCCAAGGCTTCAAAAATAGCCCAACATTATCTGGAAACCAACTGGCAAATGACCTTGAGGACTGGATGGCACCCACTGGTGAAGGAGTTTTGCTCCAATATGTAGATGAGCTGTTGATAGCCACCAAAACCTTAAACAGCTGTAGGGAATGGGACAATAAGCTTGTTAAATTTTTCTTGAACTTGATATAAGATATCTCAGAAAGAGGCACAAATAACGAATCAAGAAGTCATCTACCTGGGCTATGAGGTCTCAGGGGGGCAGCAGAAATTAGGACAAAAATGCAATGAAACAAATTGCCAAACTCCTCAGCCCAGGACATCTAAGGAACTTTGGATGTTTCTCAGGATGACAGGTTGGTGTCGACTCTGGGTCTACAATTATGGTATGTTAGTAAAATCCCTATACCAGTTGCTGCAAACAGAAATGAGGGAATTACAGTGAATTGGGGAAGCAAAATGAGCATTTAATGAATTGAAGGAATTCATGAGGGCCCCAGCCCTCAGACTCCTAGGTGTCACCAACCATTTTGGTTATTTTCACATGAGAGACAAGGCATAGCCATAGGTCCTAGCTCAATACAGAACCCTATAAAACAGCTGTAGCTTACTTCTCAAAGCAGCTAGATGAAGTAAGCAAAGGATGGCCTGGATGCTCGTGGGAAGTGGCAACTGTTCTAAAACATCTAGGAAGCTTGAAAATTCACTATGGGGAAAAAAAGATGACTGGCCTGATACCACATACATAATCTGCAGTACTGGATCAGAAAGGGCGGCACTGGCTGTCTCCCTCTTGGTTCCTGAAGTACGAAGCAATATTGGTAGAACAAGATGATGTAGACATGGTCACTACTAATATTGTCAACCCAGCTTCTTTTCTCAGCAGTGCCACAGCAATCAGGGAGCCAGTAACTTATGGCTACCTAGAAAGCATTGAAGCCACTTAATCAAGCTGGCCTGATTTAAAAGAAGAACACTTGCTGGAAATGGAAACCTGGTTCACTAATGGAAGCAGCTTTATTAAAAATGGAATTCGGAAAGCAGGATATGCTGTAACCACTACTCAGCCATTGAAGCCTGAGCCCTCCCAGCAGAAACATCGGTGCAAAAAGCCAAACGGATTGCTCTAAAAAAAGCACTAGAATTAGCCAACAGAAGAGTCATTAATATTTGGACAGACTCAAAATAGATGTCTGGAATAGTGCATGTCCATGGGGCTGTGTGGAAAGAGCATGGGCTTTTGATGTCTCGCAGGAAAATCAAGTACTCTGTGGAAATACTGAGGCTCCTTGAAGCTATAAAGTTACCGAATCGAGTGGCAGTGATGCACTGCAGATGACACCAAGGGGTAACACGAATCAGGATAAAGGGAACCGACTGGTGGATCTAGAGGCAAAGAGCGGCAGAAGAAGTAGTAAACCTACTGGCCATAATACTAAGTGGAAAGATAGGAAGTGTTACTTCTGAAATTTCTTATTCAAAAGATTTAAAACTAGCTTAGGCTTTAAAGGCACAACTTACAAATAAAATTTATGTTCTTCCCGAAGAACAAATAGTAGTGCCAGAACAAATATTATGGAAGGTAGTTCAAGAAGAACATAGTAAGACACACTGGGGAGCAGCTGCCCTATATAATAAAGAGACGAATAGTGGCATGTAACCTGTACACCACAGTAACACAGATAACAAAACAATGCAAACTCTGTAATAATCTCCAGACTACTAATAAACCCAATTTAGGAAGTTGGGAATGGCAGTGTCCCTGGAAAACAGTGGCATATTGATTTCTCTGAGCTACCCAGAAAAGAGAGGTACAGGTACCTTTTAGTACTAACAGATACCTTCTCTGGCTGGCCGGAAGCCTTTCCAACCTGGAGCTACAAGGCTGGAGAATGGACCAAGGTGCTCCTTAATGAAATAACCCCCAGATTTGGAGTACCAGTGACTGTAGTTTCAGATAGAGGTACTTGGTTTTGTGTGAAGTTGTACAGCAAATCAGTCAGATAGTATGAGTTGATAGGCAGTTACAATTAGTTAGCTAATTTAAACTGCAGTCAAACATTACCTCTAGCCTTGTTGCGGATAAGGGTTAGACCGGTATTGAAAGAGAAACTGAGCCCTTTTGAAATGCTTTATGTATGACTGTATACTGTACAATATCAAGGGGAAGACTTATATCAGGCTGATATCTCAACCATAAAATTGGAATGTAAATCTTTTATTAACCAAAGCCTTGTAGGATAGGGAGCCTGGATTCAGTCTAGAATACCCTGTACTAGACACAGAATGGACTTGATGGGATGGTTCGGATCAGGAATGGGAATCCTAAACTCTGTTGATCAAGAAGTCTTAGTAAATACATTAAGCACAGTCACCTCAGAGCTAGGAAATCCAGAAATTTCACTCGGATCGTCTCACCTGACCATTGCCCAAACGCAGCAGTTGGCAAGTGATCTTACAGCAGTGTTATCAGAACACACCTCTCAGGACCGATATCACATTATTAATTTTATAGGGAGTTTGCAAGGAAATCTGTCTCTAGCTTTAGACTGAATTCAGTCACAACTTTCGTTACAATCTGTTGCAGTGGCTGTTATTAGGGATAGGAGAAACAGGACTTTTGCCACAAGAAGTATGAACAATTATTGTTAGAAATAGTACTGATTTTGAGAAAACATCGAGCATGGTGGGAAATAGTAAATTTCACATATAATCCATTTCGTAGGGAAATTACTGCTTTTGTATTGACAATTGAACATGCCAAAGTATTAAACGTATTTCCTGTATTTGTCTCTAGAGACCATACACCAAGGCATTGTAGTCAGACCGATGGGATGCTACATATGGGCAAAATTTAAGACCCAGAATTGACAAACTATAAGCATAGAGGTTTGTACTCCGAGAGAACAGTTAGGGTTCATCTGTAAAAATGCTATAACTGAAAATGAAGATCTCTGTCTCTATACTGAAGCCAGCACTTGCATTTTCAAAATGATCCCTGTCATTCATGCAAGCTCCCAAGTATATTATATTGAAAAGGGATGTTCTTGCATAAGAACGGTGTGTGAGAATGTAACAGTTGATAGCTGTATTGAAGAAACAAGTGCTACCAACTTTTCTGTATTCAATTTCACCAAAATCTTCGGATGTGACACCATCCCTGTAGCTACTAATCAATTAATACAGATGACTTATGTGTTATACCACGATATACCTCTCCTACAAATTGGAATGAAATAAAAATTTCATTCTTTTCAAAGAAGATGTTGCATCACTCAGATCACAAGAAGATGATACATAAGGTCAATGAAACTTCCCAGTGAGCAGTGTCTTTTTTTTGTTTGTTTTTGTTTTGGTGGGTTTTTTTTTTTTGTTTTGGTCTTTTTTTGTTTGCTAGTATCAAGCAAAACTGGCTTTTTACTTTAGATTTGCAGTTACCAGTCTCTTATGTGAACAGAAACAGGTTTAAGTTAGAATTAGCAGCAATGTTTTTAGGAAAGCCCCAATAAGATCAAGCAAGGATGTTCTTCAGCAGTTTCCCTGATCAGCTGTACTTTAATTTGCTGCAAAGACAGTCATCTGGTCAACATTGTTTTTTGTTAGATTTCATGTTTGTTTAGAGCAAATACCTGCACGGCCATATGTGTGCCTGAGGCAATGTATGGGAGGTTGTAAAGGGAATGAGGGTCTGCTGTTCATATTGATGTCATCATCTTGGATCAGTTTAGGTTCTTGGCACTGAACTCTGTCTCAAGCTTACAGTTCCTAGAGTCAGTATTAAACTACTAAACTGGTGAAAAATATGATTCAAGCTGTCATACACAGTAGAAGTGGGTCTGGTCCCTCCTTGCAGTGAAACCATTTCTTTTTCTGTTTAGTAAGATCTGGCACAGCAGCGCAGGAGGTGGTTGGGCACTTGTTACACCTGGGAGAGCTCAGTGGAGATACAGATGTGATCTAGCAAAGGAGTAGCCACAAATCTGGACAAGTTTACTTGTACGTTGCTCCCACACACTGTTGAAGTGTCTCCAGTGTGTTGGCTGTGAACAGCTTCTGTGGAGTTGTTTCTACTAAACAAGGTCACTTACTCAATGATACGAGAGGCTGGTGTAAGAGTCACCTGCCATGGCTCTATTCTCTGCAGGAATTTGTTGGGGAATAAGCACTCTTGGTGACAGGCTAAACTTGCTTGAGTTGTCTTGCTGCTAGTGCTTTTGAAGTAACATTTTGCAAAAGAAGTGTGGTGGGGGTGGTTTGTTGTTATCTTTTTTTAAGACGGCCAAACTGTATGTTATTGGAGGGCCTTTATTACATGCTGAAGCCCAGACTTAATCCTGATTTACTACTGAAAGTGGATACTTAACCTGTTTCTTTTCTGTTTCTAGCCAAGTACAAGTGTCTGTCCAGAATGTCCAAGCATGCACAACTTAGAGACCATGATGTAAATCCATGTATAGTGGTAAGATGATCAAATTGGGATTTCTGTTTGTGTGTTTTAAAGTTAAATAATACAATTTCTAGAGGATTTTTTTTTTATGGGTAGCACTCTCACATTGGCATTTTGCATTAGAAGTTTCTTAAAGAGTCTGAAGTTGGGAAAATCATACATTATAGTAAGTGTGAAATAACAAGTAATTCCTCATAAATAGGAATAATACAGCTGATAACAATCTTTTCAATTTTCTGTCCTTAAAACCAGAGCCTGAAATCCTGGTTAGACAAGCTTGGTTGATTTTTAAAAGTGTTTTGTGGTTTATACCAAGCATCTTTGTAAACAACTATTCTATGGACTCTATCCTTACTATTTAAAGAGCACTAATGTCTGTTATCTTCAAATGAAGTCATTGCTTGGACTTACTGATTATTCTTTGTGATAGATGTTCCTCTGCTCTCTTTGATAGCATTTCATCTGAGAAGCTGCCTCCTGTCTTTGTTCTGGGACTTGTTAGAATTGTTAGACTTAGAGTACATTAACTTCCATCAGCCCTGAACTATGTTTTCCCTAATAAAGGAAACAGATGCCTCTAATAAATGTATGGATGACAACAACTATAATAAGGATAAGTGTACTGCTTATTTTTTGAAGTACAGAAACTGCAGAAAATTCTGGGTAAGCACAGTAGATTTTCTGAATTTTACTCTTTGCCTTGCTTTAAAGTACATTACTTCTGACACACTGCTTTCTAAACTCTGCAGACTAAGTGCTGACTGCTGCTGTTTTTATGGTACCTTGCACGCCTAGGTAGTCTCAGTACGTATTGCTGAAAGAGTTAAGCAGATGCACAACGAAGTACTTGGTTCTCTTAAATTTACCCTCTTGCATTATGAGTAAGTGTTTTTGCAGTACCTGATAATGTTTCCCTCTGAATTTGTGTCAGATATTTCTAGTAATAAATTTTGTTTTAAATGGATGTAATGGAAAATAATCTGAAGTTCTCATTTTTCCATTGTTTTGGGTCATGTTTACTTGAACCTAAGATAAAGCTTAGGCAGAGTTCATTCTTATTTGGTGGTGTCCTTATTTCCTTCGCTCTTGTGGAAGAGAAGCATCATGAGGAACTATGTGCAGTTAAACTGTTCTCTGTTTTCGTATGCCATAGTAGTAAAGAGTTGACTAGTTTAGCCTTGCACAAACTACAAAAAAAGTATTTACAGATGTTAGTCTGACATAGTAAAGTTACAGTATTCCCATTACACTATTTTCTGAAGCAGCAAGGTAAACTATTGGATTTCTTCAATTAAATACTAGCACATTTAGTTATCAGCTAATCAGACTTAGAGTATCAGACTCTTGATATATAAAGAGTACTTCTATTAAAGGATCTTATTCAGAGCTCCAAGGCAGAGACTTCTGAGAAATCGGTGTTCTCATGGTCATTTTCTGTTTTCAGCATGCCGTTATGATGCAAAGGAAAAGAAATGGAGTGAAACCAGAGATGCCTTCAGCAGAAGAGAGAAAGAAAATATTGGAATCAACGGGGAAGCCCTACTGACTAGAAACTTGGGTTGCTTGACTCTTTTCACCATACATATGAAGACTTATCATCAGCAAGTGTACCTTTCATGAACTGGACTTTGCAGTTGCCATATCTTGGATTAAAATAAGCTCCTAAATTTGGAAATGTGTGAGCTTTCTAGGATAAAACTTCTTGGTTTTATTCATACTCCCTGTCTTGGGAACTTGGCCTCCCACTGGAAGACACAGTATTGACACAAATTACGTCTAGGTACTTTGGAAGTAGAAACTAACTTGCTCTGAAATACTAAATATAAAATTAATGGGGCTCACAGAAAATCTGTTTGAAAGGAGAGAGCTGGTGAGTGTTGCTGTGTAGTTCTAATGATGGAGCAGGTTAAGAGACTGGTATGTGCAACGTGTTTCTGGTATCCAGCTGTTCCTCCTAGTAGTGTGTATTTACTGTGTGTGATCTTACCTCTATTTTCACAAGTTGTATTCTGTGTTCCCAGTTTAATAAGACCATTCATGAACTAAAATCCCAAATCCAACAAGCTTGTCATTAAGTCTGCCACTGCAGTCATCAGTGAGAGCAGAAGGTTGCAGTAAATCAGATTTGCTTGTTACAAGGTTAGAGAGATTGTTGAAAATAGAACTGAACTCCTTGGGTCTGAACTGAATAGTATCATCTCTGGATAGTAAATAGATACTTCACTGGTGGGCACGTGGGAGGTACTTGCAGAGGTGTAAACATACACTGAGTGACATGGCAGGTTTAACTATAGTACATCTCTCTAAGACTCTCTGGACAGCTGAAGCCCTAGATTTGGAAATGCTTACTCATACAAGACTATCAAAGCTCAGTTTGAACAGGTACTTTAATCTTAAGTGAGACTGATTCCTTAGCTAAACTGAACAACTGCTAAGTGTAAATGAGTTGCTGTCTAGCGGAAACACTGTTTTGTTACCTCTAGTACCTTCTGGTGTCTTGGCTTAAAAGCTTGTACCCTGTGGTAAAACACAAAAAAGGCTGTCATGAGCTCAAGTTCTATGTGAAATCCTTTAGGACTCACTGCAATCAAATTGGCAGAACTCTGGCTGACCTCATGGAGGATGGTGTAAAAGTGCTGTCTCTCTATTTAGACTGTTTTGGAAAGACTTCATGGCTTCCTGTTTCTCCTTATGTCTGGCTTGTCTTGTTTCTTTCCACTGGAGGCCTGTTTCTGTGCTAATGGGATTTTTATACTGTTTCCACCTTCCCCCTTGTTATTTGACCTGACTAGTAACAATTGGAGATCTGCTTTTGCTCCTCTTCTTTCTGTCTGTTGTTGCCCTTATGCATCTGAGTTTTGAAATGGATTGATAAAGCCCTTTCTGTTACTGGAAGGAGTGTGTAACTCTATGCTTTTTGAGTTCTCAGAGCATAGCTGTGCAGTCTCCAAGCCATGTCACAAGTTCCCTGGTCAGTTCCTGGCAAGGGAAATAGACTTTTTTCAATCAAGATCGTCAGATTCTTTATTTTAAATTACTTTCTCTGCACCTAAAATTAAATTTTGCTGATATTTTTGTGTGTGTAATGGAGAGCAAACTTTCATTATAAATTCAAAGACTCTTTATTGCCCACCACCTCCTTGTCACCTTCTTCCAATACTCTCCTACATACCGTTTTTTCCTTTTTTGTCCATTTGGGGCCAGTTCTTTTTTGCCAATTTGAGAATTTTGGTCTGTTCTCATTCCAGCTTTTATTTTAAGTAGTAGTTTTGTTTTGTCTCTGATCTAATGATGTAGTCCTGCAGTGACTTCTAATACAGCTCCTTTTGAAGGTCTTGTGTTCTCTGTTCAACCTGTCTTAGAGAGAGCTCTTTGCTTTCATTAGTCAAACTTAGCCATAATACTTCCTCATTTTCCATGCCTCTGCTTGATGATCTTGTTCATCTGTAGTTTTTGCGGAGCTGGCTGTCCCTTCTTCCTTAGGGTTGTGTCTCTCTGGACTCTTCTGGTTTTGCTGCATTGCTGTCTAAGGGCACCTTCTCTCCTACTTGGCACAAGTTTGTTATTTGGCACCTCTGCTGTATCTTTGGGCATGTTCTTTGCTTCTGCGGCTTTACCTACTATTCTAGTGCTGCTGTTTGCCTGTTGCTGTGCTGTTATGTTCTGGGCTTACATTAAAATATACTGTACATTTTCGTTCTGTGCAAGAAAAACAGCATCTCCTCTTGATGTGGTTATGCTGATTGCTCCTTGCATAAGCTCAAGTTCCTTAATCTTATTTATCCTAGGTTTTCCTTTCAGGTTTTCTTTGAGTGTCGAAGTGCCCTTTCTCATAGTTGCATTTACAAAATTTTCCTGTCAGTGTTTACTTGGAAAGTTTCCACTGGTTTTGTTGTGTTTTAAAGGATGACAGACTTATCTTTAGATTATAATAGGCACACTATATTACTTCGTAAAGTGTTTCTAAAAAACTGTGACAGGACTGGACTTTGGAAAGTCAGAAAAGGAGATGTGTTCCCTGCTTTAAAGTATCAATGCAAGTATGTGGGATCACAGGACAGGCTAAGGCACATGTAATGCAAGATCAGTATTCTAATATTAGACTTCCTGATCATCACTGGTCACACATGGTAAGCTCCCTGTGGGTGTTATGACAGAATTGGTTTTAATGAAGAACTGGGGGCAATTTCAGCAGTGACCTTGTAGATTTAGTTTGGGCAATCTGTTAACCATTGCAGAGAATGCCCCTTACTCATTTATTTCTGTTGCATATGCCTTATAGTTATTGTTAAATAAGACAACTTTATGAAAAATCTTGGAAAGCAAGAAGTTTTCTTCCTCAGGTCATAATGATTCTTGAGTAATTCATTACTTAAATCTAAGTTTTCATCATTTTTCCCCCTCACTGAACATTGATGTTCTTGCTTTCACTGTTAAGGCTCAAGAGTGGTAAGTTATGATAGCTAACACATAGGCTCTTATGTATGAAATTGTTGACTTTTCTTTCCATTAATTTTTCTAGTGTGGTTAACTGTCTTTGATTGTGAGCCAAAGATACAGTTTTTTTTCCTCATACTGGAGAGTTTGAATTCCGCACTTCACTGAAACACTGAGGTAAGCTGTAGCCTGCCAGTCTTACTGGGCAGAAAAACTAGGCTGAGTTCTGTTTTGCTGAAGCACATTCTTGTGTACTAGGCCAGAAAACATAACACAGTGGACCAATATAATTAATTCAGAAGCTGGGAAAAGACCTGTGGCTTTTAATAGGTGTAATTCGTCATTTTGCTTATGGTACAAGAACCAAATCTGCGTAGTGGCATTGTTTTATTTTTTTGACAGCTGGATGGTGCTGTTGTACAACAGACTGCATGAAAACAGACTCACTCCACCTACTACTGGCTCTCTTTTGAGCTTTTTTTTAGTCTCTTCCCACAGAGATCACAGAAATCATGCAGGAGAAAGGGAAGATTGGTGCTGTCTCTATAAACAGAAGAGGAGGGCAGTTTCAAGCACTGCTGGAAAACAGGAGGTTTCTGTGTAGCCTGAGAAGCTTTGGGATATGGTCCTGAAAAAGTATTTTTCACTGTGGTCATTTGATAGCAGCTGAGCACTAAGCAGCAGCTGCAGGCTCTCTGTCAGGCTCAGGTGAATGTTCAGACTCCCATCTGTACATTTTTACCATCTCATCTTTCCCATTACTTCCCAGTGCATGTTTGTACTTGGTATGTTTGGCTTGAAGTTTTGTTTTGCCACAACTGGGATTAGTCTGTGCTCTTGAAGGTGCTAGAAGTCATCTAGCTCTAGTGTCCCAAAAACTTCTTCAGGTTTAATAGCTGAAGCTTTGAAAGGCAGGGAGTTGCATGTGCTGCAGTTCCGAGTGGTCTCGTAATAAAACTTTCACACTCTTGTTACCAAGGCCATGTGTATAGGGAAGGTTTCCCTAAAACTTCTGCAGAACAGACAGGATGAACGTAGAGTATACGATGTTCTGTTCCAGTACCCTTGGAGGCAGCCCCTAACTCATGCTGAAAGTATTTGCACCTTTATAGTCATATCTTCAGAGGGGCTTTGAAAAAAAGTAATCTTACTGTGAAAAAAAGTTCAGAAAAATAGTACACTATCGCAGGCTGTTCTGTTGAAATAATTTGAGGCAACTGGAGGAAATAGTTCTGTAAGTATTGAAAATAGTGCAAAGTAAAAGAAACATGCTACTTGAGATTTTTTATATTTTTGTTGCAGCCTATTTGATAGAAGAAAACTCTTAACAGGGAAGTACTGCATTATACTGACTAAATACAATGGGTCACTAAAATAAACCCTTAGTATGTTTTATACATATGATAGCATGTGTATAATAACTAAGGCGTCAGACTTGGAATAAATAGTTTCTCTCCAGCCTTTAAGTTTCTATCCTAATGAGTTCTATCTTAAAATTCCTTTCTGAGGATTTTCAATCTTAAGGCCTTCAGTGTAATGATCCTCAAATCCCACATGATTACCTGCCTTTTGACAGTTGAGCTGCTAACTTGAAATTCCTTTTCAGCTTGCCTGTCTTCAGTATCCCTTTCAATAAGCTCAACCTCTTGTCTTCACACCGATGCTATGTTCTGCCCTGGACACCGTTTTCCTATTGCATTATTATTTTAACTTCTTTTCTTAGGTACAGTGCAATCCTGATTTCAGTAATATTTTTTGAATATTTTTTGCTTTATCAGTTACTCTGCTTTCAGCCCTATGTTTTAACTTTGATCACCATCCATGCTTGAAGTCCAAAGTTCATCTTGGAGGTTTTGTCTATGGCTTTATCCTCCCTAATTGCCTTATGCCTAGTAATCTTTCACAAGCTAATTTCCATTCTGTCTGGCTGGAATATCTTCCGTGCTCATGTATGTATTATACAACTGATCTTTTTTTGGTCTGCTTTTTTCAACACTATCTTTCCTTTCAACCCAAAATACACATTTCACATAATGTATTTTTTGTTTTCACAAAACACAGCTAATTTCCTGTGATTTAATAAAAAAGGCTGTTTTAACAGCAAACTCCAAAACTACCTATGTACATAAAATGCTAATTAGGCAGCTAATGAAAACATCTCTTAAGTTCTGATAGCCCTTTCTCAAAAAAGCTTTGCAGTCTCCTTTGTTTTATGGAGGTACATTAGCTGTAATTCAGGCTGTTGGCTCCTTGAGCAGCAGCCTGCCATTGTTGTTAGCCTGTACACAGCTGTGGCACTGAAGGAACGGTAAAAATAACACTAAAGTTGGGCTGAGAGCTACGAAATGTTTCTTGCCTTTCTGATGCTGAAGTAATGTGGCAGAGGGTCTAGTTCTTGTTAGTAGTTCCTTCCCTAGCAAATCTCTTACAAGGACTGGCATGAGAGCCATTTAGTATGAAATGCTTTCTCCCAGTGCTGTCTATGGGAGCAATTCTTTATTATATAATATCTGACAAAATCAGACAAATTGGATGGCATGGCTCTTCTGTCAGCTGGACAGGTATCTTTTGTTGTGGGTTCTTTTTTTTTTTTTCCCAAGCTAATAATCTTCTTTGTCAATGAAGCTAGGCACACATCTATTTTTCCCTAAGAGGATTCTTTTAAAATTAATTTTGAGAATCATTTTCCATATCTAGGGTTTTTCCACTTCTCAGTAAACAGTGGTATTTGCATTAACTTCTATGTCCTTTATACCACAAAGGATTAGTCATAGTCACAACCTCCATGTTCGAATAGATTCTGTCTGGAGCCCCAGCCCTAATTTAAATTTATCTAGAGCTGTTCCACAACCTGCTATTGTTGCTTAGGTTGTTTTTTTTTAAACTCAAACATTAATTGCTGATGAATTACTGCTCTTTTAAAAGTGCAGCTACGCTTGGGCTACCTCCTTACCTATTTTACTTTGATAAACAGCTGTGTACTGCATAATTCCTGATATTTAAGTGATTTTGGCAGAACACAGACTTGAAACAAAAATGAAAATTGCTCAATCCCTGCTGTTTTCTTTAACATTGCTTTCATTTTTAAACAGTTTCAAAAACATTTTGCCTCCTTTCGTATTTATTCTGGGTCACATCAAGGGATACAAGCTATGGGCCATGTTTAGAAGCTGCTGTGTCACTAACATTTCCTGTCAATGCCAAACTCTTATTTTACCTGGAAAACATTTTTACCCTTTTACAGCAGACATTACCACAGATAATCGTCTTCTGTTTTAGCTTTTTCTCTATTGTGTATTTCATTCTCTTCTAGCAAAGAGTTTGTGTGTAACATCCTCAGTGGAACAAAAATGCATGCAGCTTTGCCTGACAGTCCTTTATGTGTATCTCTCACCACTCAGTATTTTAAATTCACATGTTCTCCAATATACTTTGGTTTTTTTTCTCTTAAAGGTTTCCTAATTCAGCCTTTTCTTTTGGAAAGATGCTCTTAAATTCCTGTACTTCAGCACCTTCACTATGCCGTGTTTATGTTCTGTTTAATACTTCATGTGACAGTTTCCTGGCACAAAACCTGTCCTTTGTGCCAGGGAATATTAATGTTGCAAGGGAATATTAATGTTGTCCATTGCCCTGTAAAGTAAGAATAACCCCCTCTCAGTCATTGCAAAACACCGTTTCACATGTGCTATGGATCTCTAAATTTAAAATAGTAACAAATCAGCAAAACTTTTTTAAGAAAGCAACCCTTTTTCTAGATTTACTGTTACTGGAAGGGATGAAGAGAAAACATTAACTGCTTTTCAGTAAAAGCTGTTGAATATGAATGGTGGATAATGTTAAGTACCTGCAAACTATACAGTTAAGGAACTGTATGGGTCAGGGGTCAGATTTTTGTTGCATATGCGTGCAACAAAATTGCATTAGTGTCTGTCAGAATGGGAGAAGAACTTTAATATGAATTAGGTGATGTATAATGAGGAAAAAAAGATAATGTCCAAGTTAGAAAGACACACTCAATATATTAAAAGCAATTCACAGCTCTAAGACAAGGCTAGACTAAGAGCAGAAATCATCTCAAGCTTACAAACACCTAAGCCTAAAGAATCTAAGCATTTTTCATTGATGATAAAAGATTGCAATCTGTTTGCACAGAGATAGCCTGTTGGTAATATTTCTTTGTCACATTAATCTAAAAAATTTTTCTTGCTATAAAATGTGGAACCCTGAGCAGTCCTTGGTTCTGGAGTTGTGAACAACTGTTGAAGTGATCAGGATGGATTGAAGATAGAGAAAAGATCCTAAAGCAGGGTGTGTGCTACGAATTTGCCATATCCTGCAATATCAGTCTTCAGTTCTTTGCCTCTAGGTCTCCTAGTGGTGGATGGATTTGCACAGATGTTACTGATGGTCTGAGAAATGCTGTGGTTTAGTATTCTACTTGACAGGTAAACAAAAGCAGTTCCTTAAATAAGATGACAGTTTAAGATCCTGGGTTGGTCCTATCTATATAGGGTGGAAGGACCACTTTGACTCTCAGATTTAAAATGTAGATCTCTAAGGGCCTGTTGGGTGTGTCTGTGTTCAGACATTTAGAGTCTGTGGATGCCAGCCACTTTGATATCAAAAGTCCCTGGTGCTTCATGTTCTGCTTTGCACTTTTTGCACTTTGGAGCCAGCACTGCTGATGGACAAAGTCTTTATCCACACTTGGCCCTGTTGGGGATTTATGGAATAAGCATTTCACTCCTTTAGCCCTGCAGAATTACTGTAAAGTCTACTAAAAGGAAACTTATTTTCATTGTGCCATGTTACTTGACGGTCTTATTTTCAGTGCATCCCTTCAGCAACTGCCATTCCAGGTTCCTTGTTCCTGCCCCTCCAGCTGGTGCCTCTTTCTGATCCCCACATTGGTGCTGGTGCAGCGTTTCAGCCTGAGGAATGTGTCCAGCTACAAAATAGAAAAGCAGCAATAGGAAAAAATGTTGCTTTTCAGCCCACCTAGATACTGGGCATCTCAAGGTGCAGCTGCAGCCACACTCCTACCCATGGCCTGGATGGGATCATGTAGAGTGTCTTGAGAGAGCAGCAGAAGATAGGGAGCAAATGCTGAAGCCACAGCTGCTATCACGGGTCAAGCAAGTCTTTTCTGTGCTTGGAAAAAGAGATTTACATATTCAAAGCTGTGAGTACACAAGGGCTGTGATTCTTAGAATTATCAAATAGTTTAGGTTGGAAAGGACCTTGTGAGATTTGAGTCCAACCACTAACCTAGCACTGCCAAGTCCACCACTAAACCATGTTCCCAAGTGCTGCATCTACATGTCTTTTAAATGCTTACTGGGATGGGGACTCAACCACTGCCCTGGGCATCCTGTCAGTGCTTGAGAACCCTTTTGGTGAGGAAACTTTTTCTATTATCCAATCTAAACCTCCTCTGGTTCAATTTGAGCCTATTTCCGCTTGTTCTATTGTTTGTTACTTTGGAGAAAAGCCTAAACACCACTTTGCTACAAACTCCTTTCAGGTAGTTGTAGTGAGTGACGAGGTTTCACCTGAGACCCCTTTTCTCCAGCCTAAACAGCCCCAGCTCCCTCATCCAGCTTGTGCTCAAGACCCTTCACTAGCTTCGTCCAAGGTAGCAGTTCTGCTGACCCCCCTCCTTGCTTCTCTGAGAACTGAAAACTCATTTTGTGATTACTGTGCCCAAGGCAGCCTCCAGCCATCACATCACTCACAAGTTGTTGTTCTCTGTTCACTAACAACAGGTTCAGGGGGCACTTTCCCTAGTTGGCTCCTTCACCAGCTGTGTCAGGAAGTTATTTTCCGCTTGCTCCAGGAACCTCCCAGATTATTTAGTCTCTGCTGTATTGTATGAGGTGGCAGGCAGATAAAACCTAGGAGTCACAGTTTCCCAGCATCTCCAGCTGGGCAGTTTAAATAGTCTTCTTGACAGTGTGCCAGTCTTTTTAGTATCAGATATGATCACACTGCAAGCAAGTGCTGCAAGCGCACATGGATGAGGAGTAGAAAAGCACTGAAAAGGCTCACTGGTAGGTTTTACCTACCTGTGCATTAAAAGCAGTTATCAGGTTTCTGCCCTTTAAATTTTAATGTTCAAAGCCCTGAGAATCAATTATGTTAATAAATACTTTAACACCTCAGCTATTTTAGAGTTGCTGTGGGACAAGAAGAGTTCACAAAGTGCTTTGGTTTTCTGCGATGTAGAAAAATTGCCAGCCAGGAGTTGGCAGAGAGCATCAGTATCTCTCTAAGACTCCTCCAGTTGGCAGCTGCAGGATATCAGCCTGCTGGAAAGGCTGCTGTAAAGCTGGATGTTTGCAAACAGCCAGCTGCTCCTTGTGTCAGGGAAACCTCATGCTCAGTTTGACCCAAATGGGTACTGATCTGCTTGATTTTTGTACAGGTCTGGAAATGCATGCTGGTCATATGTGAACGTGCTCCTGAGGTCAGTTGTTGCCTCTGTAAAGCAGCAAGAAACTGACACTGTTTCTAAAATCAGAGCAATTTGCTAATTTAAAATGTTAATGGATAAATTTATGGGGTTTTTTGCATCCTTTATCAAGTCTAGAGCTGCTATTCACTTACAGAGAATTATGTGCATGTTTTCCCTTGTGATTTATTTCCAGTCCAACTTTTACATTGCTAAATTCTGCACTAACCCAAGTGAAATAATATTTTCTGCTCAATGAAGGATTAATACTTTTGATGAGATGTTTCTGACACAGGAGGTCCACAGATGTTCTTGCACAAGCTTTAAAAAGGACATTCGACATGTGGTATTACAAGAACATATTCAGCAAATTTTAGGTAAGTGAATTCACTTAATAAACTGCTTTTCATCGAACTAGATGGAGCCAAATCAACTACTTTCCCAATAAATTTATTAGTGCAGTATAGTTTGGTACTTACGAAGCTACCTGATTCATGCTGTGTTTTGGAGGGGAAGGAATGAATCCAGTGACACTGGGAAGTTTCAAGGCAAAAAAGGGCGTCTCCCTAGGAGTACAGCAATGTGCATACTGCAGTGCTGCTGCTTCTCCAGATTTTGAAAGAAGGGATTCATATTGTGCTACACAGCCGTCCCTGAAACTC